ATCAATAATATTCAGCAAAATAGAATTAATAAGTATTTATACCGTCAATGAATATTGAATTAGCACAAACATAAATATTAGTAAGACAAGGTCAATTAGGTAGACGCTACAACTAAAATGATTTCAAATAATAAAATACGATGATAGATTATTTATATAGTCGATCCGAACTTATTTAATATATATATATATTCCATTGTTAGTTATTGTTTTTATTTCATTATCCCCTTCCCACATATAGCTTCTTGCCTGTATTTTGTTCTTTCTTTTATTTTGGTCTTGATTGGAAAAGATAAAAGAATAACCTAATAAAAAGTGATATTGCAGAAAATATTCTGAGATCAAATGGCAGAATATATTTAATATATATAAATTTATTTATCGCCTCATAGAAATGAGTCCTACGTGGTATTGTAGAGTGCATAACTAATATCTTTTATTTTATATTATTAGTAATACATAGAATTAATATATCTAAAGACAAAAATTATTCCTCAAATCTTTTTAATCATCATTTTTATTTTCTTGATTTTATGTTTTATATTTGTAGTTTTGTATTAATGAATTAGTTTACAAAGTTTATTATTTAGAGAGAATTGTTTGTTGCTAAATAATTAATATATTGTAAATTAGATAAATAATTAATTAGTGTTATTTTACTGGAGTACCACATTCAAATTGCTTAACATAAAAAAAGGATATTATATCATTAAAAAAAAAAATCTCTTCTTTGATTTGTAAAGCACCAATGATGATACATCGTAAATTTTAAATATATGGTACTATCATAATATTATAATATTATGGGAAAATTGTATAAAATAGCAAATTATTAATTCAAATTAAATACAAAACATAGTTTTGAACTAAGGCAAAACCATCAGATCTGTTGGCACCAATCAACACATATCCAGCATCCAGTTTGACATTTTTATGGTAATATAGCACACGAAAAACGGTAAATTTGGTTTGAACTTGAAAATGCGTCTGTTTGCCCCTCGGTACCAACTTACTCCATTAATAAGGTCGTAACAGACATCCATGGAAAATTTTGACCAAAAACAAGTCGGGATCTTGTATCACCAAAAATCCATGGACTATAGCACACGAAAATTAGTAAAATTGGTTTTAGCGCTTTGGGGCTCCTTTGAACTCTAAAATGTGTCGGTTTGCCCCTCGGAACCAACTCACACCATTTATAAAGTCGTAACAGACGTCCATGAAAAAATTGGATAAAAAACAAGTCGGGATCACGTGTCACCAAAAATCAATGGACTATAGCACATGAAAATCGATAAATTTGGTTTTTCCCACATTGGGGCTCATTTGACTTTAAAATGCGTCAGTTTGCCCCTCGGTACCGACTCACGCCATTAATAAGATCGTAATGGACGTCCATGAAAAATTTCAGCCAAAAATAAGTCGGGATCACGTATCACCGAAAATTCATGGACTATAGCACATGAAAATCGGTAAATTTGGTTTTTAGCGCTTTGGGGCTCTTTTGAACTTGAAATGCGTTTGTTTACCCCCTCGGAACTAACTCATACCATTAATAAGGTCGTAACGGGCATCCATGAAAATTTTCGGCTAAAAAACCATCAATCGCACATAATCTAAAAGTCATGGACTATAAAATACTAAAAATAGAAAATCCATATTTTATGTTCCTTGTCTCGTTTGAACTTGAAAATACCGACATTTATCCCTTTGAACCAACACACACCATTTGATATGTCACACCCCGAGCCTACATCCTGGGTGGGACTGGCACTCAAGAACCATTGTTGGCCTCAAGCGAACCCTTAGCCTGACTTACTACTCAGCGGAAGACTCTAAGCATTATTACAATGATCAAATGCACTTATAAAACAATTGTCTCAAATTAAGCTCAGAACGTTTAAGGATAAAACATTCAACTAGCCATAGATGGCAACTCAAGTCATACATAAGGAATAACAATGAAAAGACTAAATAACTAACATATGACCGTCTATGAAGCCTCTAAACAACTGAGATGGATGTCAGGACAAGACCAACAACATCTTAATGAACTAAAACTACTAAAAGCAATAAAAGGGATCCCTCGGAAGCAATGAGGCTCACCAACAAACACTGGAGCTCAACCAGAATCAACGATGCGCTGGATGTTGATCTTGGTTACCTGTATCTGCACCATTAAAAAATGCAGGTCAAATGGCATCAGTACATTGAATGTACGAGTATGCGGGGGAAATTCTAAAACAAGACATAAGCTTGAAAGAAACTGAAAGAACTGGCTCAACTCAACTCAACTTAACTGAACTCATTTCAATATAAAGTAATAATGTAGAGGCAATATAAAGAAAAGCTTTAAAAACATGGGTATCAACTCCATGTATTTAGAAATACAATAATACTCTATGTGTATGCAAAGATACGATATAACCTCTGAATTGTATTTAAAAATATAAATAAATTGTGCATATAAGAATACAATTACTTTTGTGGGAGTTTCTCTAACTGACAACCATCACGTAGGAGCTATTGTGATGATACAACGTTTTGCCTCACGCTACCAGGTCCGTTCTATACCTTGCCGAGGGTATAGAACCTGACTACTAAGTGGATCCCCTAGTATATGCTAAAAATCACTAAGGAATCATCTAAAAAGTATGACCCCATTTTACTCATGGTGGCTACATGGTTTATGGGAGTTGTGAGTTGTCTGAACTCTCCCCCATATCGGTGCTCAATACTACTCCCAAAATATGATACTAACTCATATGTTTAAAAACATACTTCTTTCTGTGATTTCAGATAATTGCTCAAAACTTAGCTCAAAGTGTATCTTGGAAATCAAAGTTTCCTCACTTACTAAATTGTGAAAGCATTTACTCATTTCTGAAAACTACCTCAAAGGCTCTTTGAAAATCAAGGTTTCCTTTTCTTGTTTAAATTTGGAAACATTTTAATATCTGGGAATACATAGTCCCGATATACTCTTTGAAGAAAAGAACTTCAATCTTTACTCGTTGCTCTTCACTCAATTTAAATTTTAAGTCTTAAAACAAAGTTAAAACATTTGGAAAAGACTTTTGGAAACTCTAAGAACTTCTCTTGACTTTGACCTTAACTTTCCTTGAATTGAATTATGGATTCAAGGCTCATGATCTCTTGTTATGGATGATTTCATGTTGTTTAAACGTACCTTAGAGTGTAGGAATCAACTAGGAAACATAAGTACGTTTCAAGGGAACTAGTACGGAAAGAATGGGAAAGAAATAGAAGATTTGGCGTCCCTGACGCTCTGAGTGACGCGGGGCGCCAGAGCCTAAACTTCAGAGCTGAAGTTGGAGCGCTCTGGCTGGCGCGGCGCCCCAGAGCCCAAACTTCAGACTCTGAAGTGGGGCGCTCTGAGAGGCGCGGCACCCCAAGCCTCTTCCCAGAAAATTCTCGATTTTTTTCTTGCTTGTTTTTCAACTCTAAATCCTCTAAATTCAATTTTTCAAAAGTGTAAACTGACAAAGTTCAGTTTAGTCCCCTAAGTAATTATCAAAAACGAATTAAAATAATAAGGTAAGGAAAAGACCAAACTACCCTTCTAAAATCCGGTTTTGACTTTCCTTAACTAGACAACCCAACTTCAAATGGACATATCTCACTCATACAAACTCGGAATTGAGTAAACTTGGCGGCGTTGGAAAGATAATCCCAAGATCTTTCCTGCGGTATCTGGAACCACACCTAACTCATCCTTATCTAGGAGTTATGATCGTTTGAAGTTGACCCAAAATTCAAACTTAACATAACTAATTTTCCAGATTTTCATTCTTTCCAAAAATGACTATTTTTAATTCAAGCTCTTTCTAGTTACAGGGCGTTACATAATAGGTCGTCAAGGATGCGCACAAAAAATTATCGGGCGCACATACCACCCTAAATTTATGGACTATAACACACGAAAAATGGAAAAAATCATATTTCCGGTTCCGAGCCCCATTAGATCTCAAAAATAGTGATGTTTGCCCCTTTGAACTAATGGACGTCATTTAATAGGTTGTCACAGACACCCGCCAAAAGTTTCGGCCAAAAAACCATCGGGGCACATATCACCCAAAATTCATCGACTATAACACACGAAAAATGGAAAAATTTTTATTTCCCGTTCTAGGCCTCGTTTAAACTTTAAAATGCCGGAGTGTTGATGTGCCGGCAGTTGACAAATAATATGGATGTTGAGGTCCTCAACTTGAGGATTTAAATGTTAGTAATGTAGTTAAGGTTTGTCTAGTATTATTACTTTGTTGCTATCTTATTTCTTCGATTCCAGTATTACAAGTTCTTTCATTTGTTTCAGTTTATCGTATAATTTGTCGTTAAAACTAATCTCTTCTTCATTATTTTTTGTTTACTTTGTTCGCTATTGTATTTGCTTTACACAATACATATCAAATGTTTAAATTAAGCCAATTTCAGCAATTAACATGAACCCACACTTCATTATAAACAGCCAATAATGATAAATATTTGCCCAGACAGTTATAGGCACTCTGTTTCACTAGTACATATATTAAACAGTTCAATATTATGTTCGTTCGGATTTGATTGTGTTGTAGCTTTATAATTAAACAGCCAAGATACAGTAACACAGTGAATATGTATACGTCGAAGAAGATATAGTACACGACTTGATCATCAACAACAAGAATAAACCCGATGTAATTCCACTAGTCGCATAACCTCTATTTGAAACATCAAGAAGCAAGAAAAATGAATACATCTTTTATTCACCAGACATCCACAATAGTAGTTTGTGCATACATCTTTATCTAACTCCAATTAGCACAGCTATATATTGCCGTAAAATCAACTCTATAATCTTCACTAATGCTAAAAATATCAAAAAGGTACGAATGGAAGAGTATCGGAGATGGGGAATGAATACACGAGGGTAAAAAAGGAGACTAGACTTTCCGTCTGTAGACCACGAACAACCATGGTTAAATGTCACATCCTTTCTAGATGGGATCGATGAGGGTGTCCTTAATCAACAACTCCAACTCACCTGAAGTTGCAGTACCCTTATCCATCACACGACTGCCATCCTTGTAAAGATTAAACTTAGGTACTGCTGTAATGTTCTCTGCTGCAGCGATTGCTGGGCTTTGTTCCACGTCCACCTTCAGTATAGAAAACAAAAGACCAAATATAAATTACTATGAGTTTTCTTCATTCCCCTGTTGTGCATTGTAAGAAATATAATAGCAGCTTAGAGTCTAGGTGTTCCCGTCTGCCTGAAAAGCACGACGTGTTGCCTATGATTGTTTACCTTGAGAAAAATTACTGAACGATATTTGACGCTCAAGGTATCCATGACTGAGGACATCCATATGCATTCTGGGTTGGATAATTCATTAAAATAGACCACAGATTCACCTACAGTTTCCAACAGTAATTGTTGAGTTATATAGTAAATGATATAACATACTGACTGATGCAGGAAAGCCTACCAGATGCAATCACAGCCTGGAACTTCTCAACATCTGAAACCAACTCCACCTTGCCATCACCTTCTCTGTGTGACTTCTTTAATTCAACTCGGGCATGGGATAAATTTTCAGCAACCTCTTCGTTATTTGGAAGTTCCTGCCGCAGAATCTCATAATCTCTCACAGCATCAGCCCATCTTTCCAGCTATAATGAATTGCATACGATCAAATTTATGATTTTTGCAGCAATTATCAAGAAAAAGTAAAAAGAACCAATTTATGTCACACCTTGATATTTGAGGCAGCTTTTAGGTAAAGAGCTTTAGTATATTGTGGCCGGAAAAGGAGAGCACGGTTGCTATCAGCCAGAGATTTTTCCCACTCTCCAAGTTTAAAGCAGCAATTTGCTCTATTGTAGTAGAGAACTGAATTTGAAGAATCAAGCAAGAGCCCTTCCCCATAAGCCGTACAAGCTTGTGCATATCTTTTAGAATGAAAATGCTCGTTGCCAAGAATACGAGCTTTACCCACCAGCCTCATGTTTTTGAGTTTATCAGTAACTTCAGCACTTTGAAGATCAATTCGTGCAGCTCTTTCAATGGCAGTACGCGCATCATCAAACCTGCAGATATATTCATGATCATAATATGGCTGAACCTCTTTTATTTCTATATTACAACCTATGCAATACTGATAAGTGATAAACTCACTTTCCAAGAGCGCTGTCAATCTGAGCTTGGACAAAGTATATATATGCTTCAGAGAGCATTCCAAAAAATTTTGACTGGCTTGCTGTGGCAGATGGCTCATACATCCTAGCTTTATATATCCACATTTCAGCATCCTTTAATTGGTGTAGCTTCAAACTAGCTTCCGCTTGACATGCACATAGCTGTGAATTCAATATCAGCACCTATTCGTCACAGAATGTAACCACTAAAGATGCTTTACCTGAGGAGATGAATCAGCTCCAGAAGTAGTTGCTGCCTTAGCTTCTTTTAACATAGTCGTCCAATCTTCAAGTTTCCGGGCATCAGTGCATTTGTTGATATGTTCCGCCACTGCCTGTAACTTCTGCAACGTGGCTTGATCTGGTTTCTGACCCAGGGAAAATAAGTGCTCCCTTGCATTTTCAACCTGTCCTAAACTGCAAGTTTTACAGGAATGAGATAAGGAATTGACCGAAGCTACCAACAAAGAGGGGAAAAGAAAGAAAGGGAAAAACACAACTTCTCGGAGAACAATCAAACAAGAAAACACTGAAACAGAAAATAGTTCTGCTGCCAAGCATATTCAGAAAATAGTTGATGGTAAAGTGCAGCCCATTGGCACCAATCAATACATATCTATGGTTATAATATACATACACAAAAAACATCAATCAAGAAAGTTTTACATTAGCAAATAACACATTTCCCGCGTAATATCTAATATAACCTACAGAAAGTTCACCACATTTCCTGGTATTCGTGATCAACAATAAGCAAACGGGCTTGAACATTGTATATCACTTGCCTAAGTATCAAATATATCATATTTAACACTTAATCTCCGATACAAGTTCACCAATATTCGAGATCAACAATAAGCAAACAGGCTTGAACATTGTATATCTATCACTTGGCTAAGTATCACATTTAACACTTAATCTCCGATAGAAAGTTGTATATCACTTACCAAAGTAACAAAAGTCCCAAAGGCTTGCGTGGTTGAACATATGTTGGAGCCAATCTAATGGCTTCTTCAAATTCCTTTCTTGCTTCCGTATATCGCATGAGACCAATCAACGCAGCAGCTCTATTACAATGTAATGGACCATTGCCCGGCCAACTTGCTATAGCTTTATCAAAAAAACTCAACGCTTCTTTATAATCACCCTTTACGAAATAGTCATGCCCTTTTATATTCAACTCTCCCGGAGTCAACTCCACCGGATAACTCACATTCTGACCAGATACCGATGCAGATTTTCCCGAATTTCTCCTTCGCTCATCATCTTCCTCAAACTTCAAAGAATTTTTCATCTCATCAGCTAAAGAGCTAGAACCCACTTCATAAACACTCTTTTTATTAGAACCCGACATTGCAAAATTGACTGAATGAACCTACAATGTTACAGAATTGAAAATTGTAAATCAATCACCAATAAGAACAAAATGGGTTGGGGGAAACAGAATTTCTCTAAAACCCCATTAATCTCCTCTTCTTCTAGAATGTGATTTTTGAACAAATGCAACAATGTATATCTTCAATCTTGAACTGGGTTTTTCTGTAATTGAAAAATTGACTGGAACAACTTACAATGTTAGAGAATTCAAAACTGTAAACCAATCACCAACAAGAAAATGGAAAAAATGGGGGTGAAAGAAAGATCTCGTGATTTCAATGGTAGAAACAAAGAATGAATGTGAGCGTTTTGCAGAGAGCTTGTTTACAGAGAGAGCTTGTTGAAGAAGAGAAAGGAACTCTTTATATACTATTACATGTATATTAAAATATTTATAGTACGATTTATTTAATTATTATTTTAATTTTTTATTATCGGTTTCAAAATTTGAGTAAAGAATAAGGAGGATTACGATAATATCATAGTTAGTTTTCATATTATCAGTTTTTTATAATCCGCGTAAAGAAGGAGGATTGTAATAAGATGATAGTTGATTTTCACATTGTCGATTTCAAGTTTAAGTAAAGAAAGGAGAGTTGCAATAAGATGAAAGTTGTCTTCGCATTATTGGTTTAATTTCAAAATCTGAATGAAGAAAGATGGTTGTGATAAGATGAAAGTGGGTATTTATATTATTGATTTTGAATTTGAGTATACAAGGAGGGTTGCGATTATCGATTCTAAAATATGAGTAAAGAAGGAGGATTGTGATAAGATGACAGTTAATCTTCAGATTATCTGTTTCAAAATCTGAGTCAAGAAGAAGCGTTGCAACAAAATGATAGTCAATGTAAAACTAACTGATCATGATGAATACAATTAATATGCTTTCTTGTTGAGATGTGCTCTTCTATGCATGTATGACGACTTTAAATTACACGATATTAAATAGTGAAATATAGTCTATGAGAATTTATATACTCTATTTATGATGAATTATCAAAATATAGATAATACTAGTTCGAGCTCACTTAAGCAAATATTATGATTTTATATAACAAAATATGAAGAATGAGGATTCATATAGTCGATCTGAATTTATTTAGAAGTGAGGGTGAAAATATTGTCATTGGATTTATTATGTTTGCTTTGCTTAACTCCTTTATTATGAATAAGTACGTCCACTTATGTAAGCTTGTTCATATTATCAATGACAATAAGATTTTATTTTTATTTTTGAAAAAAAAAAAAGATACGACAAACAATCAGTTATCGTTAACTTAATTAATTTATAATAAATTTTCATAATACGATTATTGTTGGGACATGTTCACCTAGACGTGTATTACACAAAGATAATATTAAATCGTGAAACATAATTTGTGACTACATTGTCAATATTCAATATGAATTATCAATATAATATTCAGCGAAATATAATTAGTAAGTATTTATACCTTTAATGAATATTGAATTATCATAAACATAAATATTAGTAAGACATGGTCAATCAGGTGGACCTTACAATCTAAAATGATTTCAAATAATAAAATACGATCATAGATAATTTATATAGTCGATCCATTGTTAGTTATTGTTTTTATTTCATTATGAGAAAAGACATAAAGTCACACTGAAGTTGTTTCGAATTTTCAAAAATACATCTTAACGTAGCAACTGTCCTATTAGCCCCACTAAAGTTTTTAATATCTTTGTGAAAGGGTCATTTTGACCCATTCCCTCACCTGGGTTGTGAACACGCATAACAGACGCGTGAAACAATGTTTTCACTATGAATAATCAATTTAAAAGTGACATGTGTCACTTGGTATCTTTATTAATTAATTATTTTCCTCCTTTTCATCATCTTCCGCCAAATGAAAGCTCAAAAAAAGAGCCGTTGGTGCCTCTCTTGACGGACGATTTCATCATCTTTGGTACTCTCTTTTATGAATTCATCATCTTTCCCAAGTGCAATAAGGTAGGAATTTGTTTTCTCTTTTAATTTTCAGTAGAAAAGATTAATTTGAAGTTTTTCAAGGTTTAATTTCTTCTTAATTTCATTTAGTTTTGAGTAATGAAGATATTTTTGTGATTAGATTTTGAAGAAAAATGTCAAATGCAATGTTTGAAATCAAGAAAGCTGAGAAATCAGCACAATCGTTAGAAATCACCACAATCGTTTGGATTGGGAGACAAAGAGACTCTGGAAAGCTGAGAAATAACAAAAGATGAAGACTTTTCTGTTTTTGAAATGAATCGGGTCATAGCGTGGGCATCACGCGTGTTGTCCCAGGTGAGGAAATGGATCAAAATGACCCTTTTACAAAGATATTAAAGTGTCTTTTTAAAAATTTGAAATAACTTTAATGGTGACTTTATGTCTTTTCTCTTTCATTATCCCCTTCCCACATATAGCTTCTTGCCTGTATTTTGTTCTTTCTTTTATTTTTGTCTTGATTGGAAAAGATAAAAGAATAACCTAATAAAAGTGGTATTGCAGAAAATATTCTGAGATGAAATGGCAGAATATAATTAATATGTATAAATTTATTTATCGCCTCTTAGAAATGAGTCCTACGTGGTATTATAGAGTGCATAACTAATACCTTTTATTTTATATTATTAGTAATACATAGAATTTAATAACATAGAATTAATTGGGATAAGAGTCTGAAAAATATCCAATTTTGGTCGAATTTGCTGTTGTGATACTAAACTTTCATGAGGACCTATTACCTCCCTAGACTATCTAATAGTGTATTTTTTACCCCCTGAACTATTAATAGTGTATTTTAAAAGTATATATGTGTCCACGTGGACACATTACTATTTATAATTTTGCATTATTTTTTATGTCCATGTGGGCAAATATATATGTTTAAAATACGATATTAAATAGTCTAGGGAGGTAATAGGTCCTCATGAAAGTTTAGTATCGCAATAACAAATTAGACCAAAGTTGGGGTATTTTTCAGACCCTTATCCCGAATTAATTTATCTAAAGACAAAAATTCTCAAATCTTTTTAATCATCATCTTTTTTATTTTCTTGATTTTATGTTTTATATTTGTAGTTTTATATTAATAAATTAGGAAAATGCATAAGTACTCCCCCAGCCTATTCCCAAAATTCCTGAGACATACCTAACATTTACTAAGGTCTTATTACCCTCCGAACTTATTTTTTAATTAATTTTCTACCCCCTTTCGGCCTACGTGACACTATCAACCAGATAGGTTGAAAGTTTTGTTGAACACGCACTGGGCCCTACTTTTTTAGCTTTCTAAAAGACAAGCTATCAGTCCAAAAGTAACTTTTACACTTCCCAAACTTTTAAAAAAAGCTACCAGTTTACGTTTTTCAAGTTTAACTTTACCAAAAGGAAGAGAAAGGAACAAGGGATAGAACAATTATCTTCAAAAAATTGATTTCAGAAATTCAATTTTCAAACTCATAATTGATTTTCTATGTTGGATTTTGGTACTTAGTGTTCGATTTCAGTCGTGCTTGTGTGGGTCGATTTCAGTCTCCATCGAAAAAAATTATAGTTCGTGGCCTCATAATGAGGACAAGACCAAAATCGTCTTCCGGGATTGTGATCTAACCAAGATGTCTGCATTTGCAATAAGATTTCATGCTTGCATCGCACTTCAGCATTGATCATTGAATCATTCTCATCCATACACAACTTATTCAACTCGGATTTTGTCATAATCCTAACATTTATACATAAAAATTGTGAAAGAAATTTAAAATCAGAACTAATAATCGACATAAAAAGGTGTAAATATAAAGAATATATTAAAATTTTACTTTACCTTTTCGAAGCAAGGAGCAATTTAACTTGAATGATAATGGAGATTTTTTTTTCAAAAGATGAAGAACACTGATAAAGAAGAAGACAACTGAGTTAATGTTTATTTTTTTCAAGTTTATTTTAACACATGGCCAATTTTTATTGGTCAGTGTTGTCTAAAAACTGCACCCACGCACCTAACATAGGTGAAGTCACAGACTCAGTCACGTAGGCCAAAAAGGGTAGAAAATCAATTAAAAAATAAGCTCGGGGGGTAATAGGACTTTAGTAAAGGCTAGGTGTATTTCAGGGATTTTGGGCATAGGCTTGGGGGGGGGGGGGGTACTTATGCATTTCCCCTTAATAAATTAGTTTACAAAGTTTATTATTTAGAGAAAATTGTTCGTAAATTTTAAATATATGGTACTATCATAATATTATCATAATATTTATTGAGAAAATTGTATAAAACAGCAAACTAATAATTCAAATTAAATACAAAACATAGCTTTGAACTAAGGCAAAACCATCAAATTTAAATACTCTAAGGCAATCAGATCTGTTGGCACCAATCAACACATATCCACCATCCAGTTTGTCATTTCTATGGTAATAAAGCACTCGAAAAATGGTAAATTTAGTTTTCCCCACATAGGAGCTTGTTTGAACTTGAAAATGCGTATGTTTGCCCCTCGATACCAACTCACTCCATTTATAGGTCGTAACAGACATCCATGAAATTTTTTTACCAAAAACAAGTCGGGATCTTGTATCACCAAAAATCCATGGACTATAGCGCACGAAAATTAGTAAAATTGGTTTTTAGCGCTTTGGGGCTCCTTTGAACTCTAAAATGTGTCGGTTTTCCCCTCGGGACCAACTCATACCATTTATAAGGTTGTAACAGACGTCCATGAAAAAATTCGATCAAAAACAAGTCAGGATCACGTGTCACCAAAAATCAATGAACTATATCACACAAAATTAGATAAATTTGGTTTTTCCTGCATTGGAGATCATTTGAACTTTAAATTGCGGTTATTTGCCCCTCGGTACCAACTCACTCCATTAATAAGGTCATAACGGATATCCATGAAAAATTTCAGCCAAGAATAAGTTGGATTCACGTATCACCAAAAATCCATGAACTATAGCACACGAAAATCGATAAATTTGAT